AATATTGTCCAAAGTCTGAAAAATTAAAAACAAAATTATTTCAGAGTTTCAATAATGCAGGAAACCCGAATAATATATCGGCCTGAAATTTTACATGAAACCAACAAAGTTGAAGATACAAAGTACAAACTTCAAATAATATTTTTATGCAGAACTTCAAACAATTTTTTTAAGTAAAAACCAAACATAAGTAATCTTTGCCCTATAAAATAAAATGATGAACGTATTCAGTATCAGTCTATATTTCTGAGATGAGGTATTATGTACATCATTTACACTATTCGGACTATTGTCCTCATCTTTGTCGCCATATTTATTACAACGCATCGGCCTTTCAGTATCTGTCTATATTTCTGAGATGAGGTATTATGTCCATTATTTACACTATTCGGACTATCGCCCTCATCTTTGTCGCCATATTTATTACAACGCATCGGCCTTTCAGTATCTGTCTATATTTCTGAGATGAGGTATTATCTACATTATTTACACTATTCGGACTATTGTCTTCATCTTTGTCGCCATATTTATTACAACGCATCGGCCTTTCAGTATCTGTCTATATTTCTGACATGAGGTATTATGGACATTATTTACACTATTCGGACTATCTTCCTCATCTTTGTCGCCATATTTATTACAACGCATCGGCGTTTCAGTATCTGTCTATATTTCTGAGATGAGGTATTATGTACATCATTTACACTATTCGGACTATTGTCCTCATCTTTGTCGCCATATTTATTACAACGCATCGGCCTTTCAGTATCTGTCTATATTTCTGAGATGAGGTATTATGTACATTATTTACACTATTCGGACTATCGTCCTCATCTTTGTGGCCATATTTATTACAACCCATCGGCCTTTCAGTATCTGTCTATATTTCTGAGATGAGGTATTATGTACATTATTTACACTATTCGGACTATTGTCCTCATCTTTGTCGCCATATTTATTACAACGCATCGGCCTTTCAGTATCTGTCTATATTTCTGAGATGAGGTATTATGTACATTATTTACACTATTCGGAGTATTGTCCTCATCTTTGTCGCCATATTTATTACAACGCATCGGCCTTTCAGTGTCCGTCTATATTTCTGAGATGAGGTATTATGTACACTATTTATATTATTCGGACTATTGTCCTCATCTTTGTCGCCATATTTATTACAACGCATCGGCGTTTCAGTATCTGTCTATATTTCTGAGATGAGGTATTATGTACATTATTTACACTATTCGGACTATCGTCCTCATCTTTGTGGCCATATTTATTACAATGCATCGACCTTTCAGTGTCCGTCTATATTTCTGAGATGAGGTATTATGTACACTATTTATATTATTCGGACTATTGTCCTCATCTTTGTCGCCATATTTATTACAACGCATCGGCCTTTCAGTATCTGTCTATATTTTTGAGATGAGGTATTATGTACACTATTTCCATTATTCGGACTATTTTCCTTATATTTATCGCCATATTTATTACATATTTCGGCCGTTGTACGCTCAGGCCTTCTTCAGGTGGTTGGAATGTCGAACTGAGCCCTTTATTTCACTCACTGGATTAGACTGTTCTAGTTCCACATGCCATGTTTAATAGATATCAGTTATCTCCTGTTAATTTCCCTCTGAAAATTCTCCACTACATTAACCGGGTATTGAACGCACACTCTTTGGGTCCTGTCACTGGATCTAAATAACGCCTTTATCCACTGTGCCATAGTTAGATCCAGTGACAGGACCCAAAGACTGTGAGTTCAATACCCGGTTAAGGTAGTGGAGAACTTGGAGAAGTGAATTAACAGGAGATAACTGATATCCCTTAGACATGGCACGTGGAACTAGAACAGTCTACCCCAGCGAGCGAAATGAAGTGTTCAGTTCGACATTCTAACCACCTGAAGAAGGCCGGAGCATACAATGGCCGAAACGTTGTAATAGATATGGCGACAAAAATGAGGACAGTAGTCCGAATAATGTAAATAGTGTACATAATACTTCATCTCAGAAATATAGACAGATACTGAAAGGCCGAAACGTTGTAATAAATATGGTGACAAAGATGAGGACAATAGTCCGAATAATGTAAATAATGTACATAATACCTCATCTCAGAAATATAGACAGATACTGAAGGGCCGAAACGTTGTAATAAATATGGCGACAAAGATGAGGACAATAGTCCGAATAATGTAAATAATGAAAGTGTTAGTCTGCATCATTCGTAAAAAAATGAAATTTTGACAACACTAGGAAGGCAGGAGCGCACATCGACCGATAATCATTATGATAAAAGAAATAACAAAAGAAATCAATATGCTAAACGGGAGAGTTCGTGGAATCAGAAAAAAGTTGGTTCCATCAAGAAATGTCTCAGTGAAGATAATCCGCCATGTTGGAATCTTGTTTTTTTTGTTTTTTTTTTTTTTTTTTTTTTTTTTTGACTTTCAGAAAATCCTCTAAGTTATCTGAATGATAAGAAAGTCAAGTGGTTTACTTGAAATTGAGAATCTGACAAATGAACTGAAAATGAAAAGTTAGAAACTCATTTCATTGAAACGCTTTCGTGCGAATAGAAAATGTTCCGAATACAAAAGTAAATTTGTTCAAGCGATGGAAATTCCACTTTATTATTGCCGACAAAAGTACACAGAAATCATTACTCAAATACACGTGCGTGTGTGTGTGTGTGTGTGTGTGTGTGTGTGTGTGTGTGTGTGTGTGTGTGTGTGTGTGTGTGTGTGTGTGTGTGTTATTCTTATAAAATACATATATATCTAAAATATATGTAAGCGCCTCACCGAGAAAGCGATAGGAATTAAACAAACGGTGACATTGATTCACACAGATTCGCGATTGTGGTTCTAAGACTTTGTGACAGTCTAAGCTTAATAAATATAGATATAATATTTTAAATTCTTACTATACATGATAAATACAGAAAACAAATTTAGAAAAATTCGATGTTGACAGGTTTCGCCTATGAATCAGCGATATCAGAAAAATGGATCTTATTTCAACAAAATCTATACGTACTCGACAAAACGTGATTCCCGCTAAGCATTTGAATGCTTCATATCTACTTTAACTGCATCGTTTTAGAAATTAGATTTTAAGTAATATATATATATATATATATATATATATATATATAGGATTGGTGTATACGGAATAAATTCCAATAACCAACAATTACTATTCTTAAAAGAGTGCTCAATACAGAATAGAGAAGATATAATTATTTATTTAAAAATTATAACATAAATATGTTATAAAATCACGACAAAATAGCCATTTTGTTTCAACACTTTATTTATGTTATAATTTTAAATAGATAACGATATATATATATATATATATATATATATATATATATATATATATATATAAGGCCACTTACGTGCTAATACCTTTGGGAAAGGTATGAATCTTCTTCTCCACCACCACCACTTCCCAACTATGGGTAAATAGCAGGATAGACTGGGTCCTATACGCTCGTGTAGGAGGAATTCAAAACCGATCCTCCATTGGTTGGGGCGTGTGCAGTAGGCTAACAACCTACTCACTTAAAAACTGGCTTGTTACAAAAACCACATCGATATCTTACGGTGCTCTGTTCCTCAAGGAATTGAAATGCATAATATATATTCAGTTGTATGTGTATGTGTTTTATGGTGTGAGTGTATTACGGCACCTGTCTAAATGATTGGATTTCTCTGTATCCTTGGAAACAAATTGTATGTGCTTTTAAAACTCAGTAAATTTCAAAATAAGTTATTCCAAAATTTGCTTGAAAATGAAACAGATCTAGTGCTTTTAATTTAATTAAATAATTGAATTTAAAGTTCTTAGTTTCTGTCTTTGAAACATGGTATGTCCTCTGTAGCGAAGGAACCATATTTTTAAATGAGTTAATTTATAATATTTATGCTCCGTAAATTTACATAGAGCACTGTTTTATAAAAATAAAAATATCAATAAGAACACCGGATTATATATCACAATGACTACAATCACTTTCTTGTCCGTTTATTGCTTAATATATTGTAATGTAATTGCCATTTTTGATAACGGCTTATGTAAGCCGAAAGCTTAGATTGGATTTAAAAATATGTATCAATATTGAGATTTTCTTTCTTCGTTTAATGATAATGTTATTAAGCTTATCAGGCGTTATGAAATGAATTTACAGAAAATAGACAACACTTGTCTATATTATTTAATGAAACATGTATGAATGAAAAAATGCAGCCTATATATATATATATATATATATATATATATATATATATATAGTATCCGTAAAATCTCTTTACAATTTAAAAATGTATTGAAAGAGCAATTGATAAGGTATCTTAATCAGATTTGTTCTATGTACTCAGTAGCTAATCAAATTGATGTATTTTAGGTATCCTGCTGATGAAAGAGATAATGTTAAATGGACCACCTAAAAAATGGCTACACCTCAAGAATAGGCACAATGTGTTTGTTTATGGATACGCAGACTCAGCGAAACGACAGAACTATGGAAGTGATCCACCCGTACGTCCGACAATTCGTCCATGGCTCAAGGAATTTGTAGAGACAGGGACAGTGTTGAATTAGGTGAGGATGAGATAGAGAATTATGTGTATGAGAGAGAGAGAGAGAAGAGTGAGGATGAGGGAGAAAAGTATGCGTATGAGAGAGAGAGAAGGGTGAAGATGAGTGAGAGAAGTATGCGTATGAGAGAGAGAGGTGTCATGATGAGAGAGAGAAATATGTGTATGAGTAAGAGAAGGAGAAGTATGAGGATGACGGAGATAAGTATGTGTATTAGAGTAAGAGAGAAGTGTGAGGATGAGAGAGAATTATGTGTATGAGAGTGAAAGAGAGGTGTGAGAATGACAGAGAGAAGTATGTGTATGAGAGAGATGTGTGAGGATGAGAGAGAGTAGTATGTATATAAGAGAAAGAGAAATGTGGGGATGAGAGAGAGAAGTATGTATATCAGAGAGAGAGAGAATGGTGATGATGAGAGAGAGAAGTATGTATGTGAGAGAGAGAGAAGAGTGGGGATGAGAGAGAAGAGTATGTGTATGAGAGAGAGAGTGAAATGTGAAGATGAGAGAAAGAAGTATATGTATGCGAGAGGGAGAGTAGTGTAATGATGAAAGAGAGAAGTATGCAGTATGTGTATGAGAGAATATGATAGAGAGAATTATGTGCATGAGAGAGAGAGAGAAGTGGTAGGATGTGAGAGAGAGAAGTGTTAGGATGAAAGAGAGATATATGTGCATGAGAGAGAGAGAGGCGTGAAGATGAAGGATAGAAGTATGAGAGAGAAAGAGAAGTGTGAGGATGAGAGAGAGAATTATGTGCATGAGAGAGAGAGAGAAGTGCGAGGATGAGAGAGAGTAGTATGTGTATAAGAGAGAGAGAAATGTGAGGATGAGAAAGAGGAGTATGTGTATGAGAGAGAGAAATGTGAAGATGAGAGAAAGAAGTATATGTATGAGAGAGAGAGAGTAGTGTTAGGATGAGAGAGAGAAGTATGTGTATGAGAGAACGAGAAGCGTGAGGAAATTGTGGCTATAATTATGTCGAAGTGAAAATGAAATATGTGCGTGTGTGAGTGAGAAAACTATGAGACAGAGGGAGGGGTAGTATATGGGTGTGGGATGAAAGAGAAGTGTTAATATATGTATGGGGTGAGTGAGATTTGTGTAAATGTGAGGTTGAAAAGTTGTATGGATGCCTGAAAGAAAGATGTGTGAAGTTACATGTGAGAGAGAATGAAAGAGTAATCGGAATACTCATCGTATTTTTCAGTGATAACTATATGCAGTGTCAGTAAATATATGTAGCTAATGGCGAACACCGTCGTTTGATCAGCTAATAAGATGGGTGTGGCGATACGCCAACGGTGATTGACAAGCTAAGATAGTGACTTCTGCGTTCAGAGAAGCGTTTTATCTCAAGCATAATGAGATTTCAGTTAATAAGAGAGAAGAGGACGTATTCATTTTCGTTCTTGTAAAATGCTTAACTCATTTAAACATTGTTATCCTTTACTAAAACCTTTCTAAACAAAAAAATTTTCAAAGTCAAATGGAAAGCGTTAGGTTCAGACGAAATTTCTACAGATTTCATGATTTAGTCACAGCATCTCCAAAACTCACCAAAAAAGGAGAAAATCCCACAACGGGCGATTACAAAAGAGAAAGCAACCCTAATCCTAAAAGCCTCTAACAAAAAGAATTAAGTCAAGCAATTATAGTTTAGCTTTCCGCTACCACTTTTTCATCAATGTCGATTTTCGTGCAAAAAGCGGATCACAGCTTCATACATGTTTTCTGAAAACCTGAACTTCTTATTGGACAATAAATATTAAAATTATCTCGTATATCTTCACGTACATTGTTCTCAATAAGCAACACAAAACATATCAGGCTCCAGACTGAGTTTTGTAAGGCGCTTTCTGAGTGGTTAACAGATGTTAAAAAAACAATTTACCTGCTCACCACTACGTCCGAATAACGTCAACCTAGTTTTTGACCTGACGAAAAAACAATGCTTTCAGGATCCTGTCACATGATTAAAAAACATATAAGTTGAAGGTACGAGCGAACCCAGTCAGTGAAAATTTACGACGACTAGCATTTGCTAAACGAGTTCACGACGCTTGTATCATTACTGCAGCGAAGTACAAAGTTAGAATCACAAGTTCTTTAACATGAAACAACTTCACTGAAATTCAAGCTAAAATTTCAACAAAACAACTCACCAACTTCTGCAACTTACTAAAAACTATTCAATCACGTTATTGAATCTTACGAAACTAAAGTACAAACAATACGAACAATACATTCAACTACGAGCAACGAAAACAAATTAAACATCACGGTACATTCACTTCTCCAACTTCTTTGAAGCTAAAAGTTTATCAACATATTTTCAGCTTTACAAGATTCTTTAAACTCTCTTTCAGTGAACATTTTGTGCGACAAGATAATATGACTTTTTGTGAGCTCAGGTAAAAAAAATTTTTCGTAAAAAAGACTTTAACTCAGTCAAAGGGAAGTAACTCATATTAATAATTACTGTAAAACTGTTGTCATTTATAAATATAAATATTGTACATGTTATGAAAAGTTATTTTCTTGTGTTCTTTCTCTTGTTTGCTTTTTGTTTGCTTACACATTCGTAAAGTAAACAAATGTGCGGATTGATTTATGCCCTCAATACCGCTACAATAGATTATAATATGTCTACCTAAAACATGGCAATATTTTTTATTAGCCAGATAGCAGGGGAAATATTCTATTACATAGAGAGTAAAAGGGATTCTATCTCCTTTCCAGAACAAAATGTATTATTTACAATATTTACATCATTTGGATTGTTGTTTTTCTCTTTATTGTCATATTTTCGACGTTTCGGCCGTTGTATGCTCCAAGTGATATGCCTTGGAATTTTAAATTGAATTCTTTATTTAGTCTACGGAGGTAAATTGTTTTAATTCTATGTCCGTATGGGACATCTTTTTAGACATCTCAGTTTCAGCTAATTCCCCTTCGTAAAACAACTCAGCAATTTTTTGTTCCTACTGCTGTGGCCAGATATTAAACTTTCAACTCTTTGGGTCAAGTTACTTTTTGGACACATGGCCCAATGGATAAAAGCGTTGGTTGAGTAATTCAAAACGTGATTTGACCAAAAAGTTCAGTATATGGCCACAGCAGGTTCGGTTCGAAAATTCAACGTAAATCACCTGAAGAAGATCGGAGCGTACAACGACCGAAACGTCGTGAACACAGAAATAAAGATGAGGAACAATTTGAAGAATGTAAATAGTGTAAACAGTTACAATACCTTATCTCAGAAATATAGGCAGATTACAAAATTGATGCAAGAACAAAGGACTGAATAACCTGCTCTAAATCGAGAATAGGATTCTGGGAGAAGGCAAGTCAAGATGAAAAAATAGGATGGATTGACAGCATGAAATCATTCAACATGATCCTTCATATCAGAATTTTTGAATGTCTCAAGTTGTTCAAGATTAACGCAACAGTAGATTGTTTCATAAATAACTCCATGGAAAAATGGCAAGTGAACTTATCTACTAAAGCAAAATCCTTAGCAGAGACAAGTAATATAGATTTTTGCAGAGAAACACATGGAAATATTAATCTGAGTTTTAAACAATTTGATTTTTTTGTTTATCAACTTTATTCTCCAAAAAAATAAAATACAAATATATTTTATTCAAATATATATTAACCATCGTTTTTAATGACACGTTGCTACTTCTGGGGCAGCTCTTCGATACCTTCTGAATAAAATTCCGTAGGTTTTGATGTGAAAAAGTTTTCGACTACCTCTTAAATTTGTTTTTTATTAGAAAAGGTTTTCCTCATCAAAGCGTTTGGCAGCGAACGGAATCTGTAATAATCGGTTGGTGCAATGTCAAGTGAATATAGCGAGGATATGAATACAACAGACGAACGGAGTTCCATGATTTTGTCTTGTGTTCCTCTTTTTCTATGCACCCTTTTGTTGTGATGGAGTAGAAAAACATTTCGCTTTTCGACCAAACCTTTATGGACACGTTTCACCTGCTGGACGCGTAAATATGCATTTAGTGTTTCACCGCATTTTAAAATTCTAAATGAATAACAAGAAAAATGATTATCCCGCCATAGGCAGAACATTATTTGCCTTGCATCGGTTGTCGATATTGTGGAAATGTTGTTCAGGCGGGAGAAAAAGCAATGTACTTACTTGGGTTGTTGTTTCTTACTAACTAAAAGTGGTTACGTTTTTACTAACTTTTTATGGTTACATGAGTCACGTGACTTTATTACCACGTGATCCCGGAAGTAGTTATAAGTTAAGTATTTTTTTTCCCTTTTTATTTTTATATTTACTTATATTTATCTACTGCAAGTTATTAAACGTTCAAGTAACGTCGTGGAAAGGAATCTTATTTCACGAAATGTCGAGAAAATCTTAACCCTCACAAAAATCTAAGAGACGGTTTAGGTCACAGAAAGGAATTTTATTTCGCAACTTAAGGTAAGAGCTTTTGCTTCTTTTCCTCGGCCTAAACAGTCTCTAGATTTTATGGGGTTGAGGATGTAGTAGAACCAACCAGTATCCAAAGAAAATGAAAAATAAAAAAGAAAGAACTAAGACCATGAAATTGAGGCGAAAACAATCGTCCAAAATTCAAGCTCAAAGTCCAAAGAAAAAAACCTCCAAACGTGTAAAAGGCAACTACGTAAAGTGGTCAATACACGAATTATAAACATAAAGAGCCAAGCAAACCTACCAAGGTTTCAACTAAACAGATCGTCAGGGTAAAACTGGCCAGTTTTACACTGACGATCCGTTTAGGTGAAAACTAGGTAGGTTTGCCTGATCTTGGCTATATATATATATATATATATATATATATATATATATATATATATATATATATATATATATAACTAGACTCGTTTTGAAAAACCCTCGAATTTTTGATTTGCTAATCAAATCAATCTCGAGGGGTCAAGGTTTTAAAAAAAGAAAGAGCTACAAACATGAACTTCTGCCGACAAAAAATCGCACAGATGCAGGTCTGAAGCCTAAAGAAAAAAAACCCCGATACGAGTAAACAACTAACTAACAAAAGAGCTCAATACAACCGTAGAGCAGACCTAGATACACCTAGTGAGCCAGACAAACCTACCTAGGTTTCACCTAAACGGATCGTCAGGGAGAGTTTGGAGCCAAACTATCTATCTATCTATCTATCTATATATATATATATATATATATATATATATATATATATATATATATATATTATTACAATGAATGTCTATTATATCTGACCATGTGCTGTTGTAAAGTTCGGATGTTTGCTTTAATTTCGGGGGAAAATGAAGACAAAAATTGTCCCATATTTGGATATTTTTTATTAAGTTGGTCCTTGATCTCAACTTTCGGGTCACATGATCCATCTTCAGACTGTTTGTAGAGATTTTTAAACAAAGATATTCACCATCAAAGATGATACTGTTTTGTTGACATTTGATGGGAAATATCTTTGTTAAAATATCCGTATAACCACTCTGAAGATGGCTCATTATGAGCCGAAGGCTAGGGTTTGCTTACGTTGATCCTACTGCACATGCGCACGAACGAGTGACGCTGGGAAGTATTAAAGGACGAAACGCGTCACACGTAAACTTTTTTCACTTTGTCCTCCAAAACATCTTGATATATAGAAATGTATATATCGTTATCTCATATATATATATATATATATATATATATATATATATATATACATATATATATATGCAATTTTATATAAACATTATTTATATATTTTATATGCGTGGTACTTCTTGGAAAGCGTTCAATATCACTGATAGAGCTAACATATTTAGTTGGATTTATGTGACCCTGGGTTTCACGCTATTTGCGATCATCAAACAAACTGATTATTTCTTTTTTAATTTTGTATTTATATATGGTTGCGTATATCGATGTTTTATGTTTTTATGATAACGCCACTTATACGTACGCGTGTATGTATGTCTGCGTATATATATATATATATATATATATATATATATATATATATATATATTATTCTCACAATGATTCTTCCCCACTCTCCGTTAGCGATTTGCAAAAAACCAACATAGTTTACAAATTCAAGTGCCCTTTGGGAGATTGTAACTCCAATGGATTAAATAATATTTATGTTGGTTACACCACATACTCGCTTTCATTATGCTTGACTCTACATTTGAATGATAACTCTAACATTTTTAGGCATTTACAACAAGATGCCTGGCCGCGTACACAATTCAGGAAAATCCTAGTTGAAAACACAACTATACTTAAACATGAAAACAATAAACAAAAACTAAACATTCTTGAAGCTTTATATATAAAACAGTTGAAACCAAACCTGAACAAAATAAACTATGAAATCTCCACATATATTCTTAAATGCCTATAATTGATAACAGAAGCCATTGGTTTATTCCCATACTTAATACTTCTCGTTTTCACTCTCGCGTGGCTATGTGTGACGTCACGCGCTGTGACGCAATTTTCACTTCCGCGTCTCGTATACACGAGTTTGTCGTTGTTTTGAAATTTTTCATGCAACAAAAACAGACTATCATTATTGCTTCGTCGGTTATTATATTGAAAAGTAATTGTCATCTTTGATAATGGCTTATGTAAACATGTATCAATACGGTGATTTCCTTTCGTCTTTCAATGATAATGTTATTAAGCTTATCAGACAATATGAAAGGAACTTACTTAAAATAAATAGACAAAGCTTGTCTATATTATTGAATGAAACATGCATATATATATATATATATATATATATATATATATATATATATATATATATATGCATGTTTCATTCAATAAGATAGATAGATAGATAGATAGATAATATTAGTGGTATTAGACATCCGACAACATTCATATTTCCCCCTTCCACCCACCTCTATAAAACTCCTCTCTGTTAAGTTTTAATCTCCCTCCTTCTCTCGTCTGTTACCCCTCTCTTTAGCTCTAACATTCGTCCCACACTCTCATACTTACACTCTCTCTAAATTATATTTTTATTTCCGGAGTTGTTTTTTTCTGTTTTCTTTTTGAATTTGTAGGTCTGATAAATTGGATCGTATTTACGATTCCAATGGAATAAATTATGACACCATGGAATATTAGTTTTAAGCCTTTTTTTATATATATATATATATATATATATATATATATATATATATATATATATATATATTAATTGTTGAAACTTGACTAATGCATGGAATAATAATACAACACAAAATGTACTTAGAACAAAATGTATTGAAACAAGAAAGTGTACACAATATTTACATATAGTCTTTTGTATATTCTTGGGGAAGACCGTTCCTGGAGAATGTGTTGACTTAGTCGCAGTCGGGCAGAGTCTCTGGATTGAATCTCTTGATTCCTCCCCCCGTCTTCCCGGTACCAACCATATTTATATGGTCGGTACTCCACTATGCAAATTAGGTGGATCCTACCACAACATTAATGGAGTTATCTTGTTTTCTTCGTAATCTGATATTATTTTCGATTAATTTTGACTTCATATGCATTGGTTGACGTCATTTTTAATCAATTTTGTTATTAAATATCTCACATTGTCATAATAGAAAATCTGCAAAGAAATAGTAACAAATGTGATAAAAATATAAATAAAAATGAAACGAAATTAAATTGGCTAGAATATATAAACAAATACATAATTTTAAAAAAATTAAATTTTTATAAGTTTAATCTTCCCTTTCGTGCGCATTAATCTCAATGTAAATATCATTTAAGTCCTTTGAATTCTTAAAGGAAAACGCGTCGCACGAAAACCTTTGTCATTCATACGTGAAATTTGAATCAACGAACATTTTTCGCAGATTACCCGACGAACACAGAACTGATCAAGATGCCTGTGATATCGTAACGATAAACTGACTTTCAAATATTTTATATCGTTCAGATAATAATTATTATAGATTTTGTTTTTGTTTTGAGATCTTTACCGTCTGAGACAAATCGACCAATACTTATTTATTACACCCAATACAAGCGAAAGAAAATGATGTCTTTGGACAGTCAGACATTAATCCACATTCTGTCATACTGACCAAACACACGAATCACTGGACAAATCGATGGCGTCATCTTATTTTCCCTTTCCCGCGGACAAAATGTCATAAAAATGGCCAAAAGAAAACTTAATACGCTTTATTGCCAAACTGCGTTCTCTTGTAATTTGTTTTTTCTGTGTTTCCGACGCAACCTTCTCTTATAAACTCTTTTACCATTTATAGTGTTGCTCTTCCAATTCTTTCATTTATTAAGATTTTCTCGAAGTTGCCTTTAATTATTTCATGTTTTTTTATTTAATTTTTTTACTGTTTTCATTTTACAAATACCGTGTCTCTTCGGGACGCAGTTGATCATGGCTTTCCACATATTTTTTTATTATCTGTGAATTTCCACTTATTCTTTGGAATGATAAGTGCTTTCCTGTTTCCTTTTCCTTCTCTTAGATTAGTTGCCCTCCAAAGCTAGAGAGTCCAGCCTATTCTACTGTTTAACTCATAGCTGAGGGGAAACGAGTCGGGTTTATGAATTTCCCATTTGGGCAAAAATAAATGCAACAATAATGACTGAATTTGAACACGGTACGACGTTCGCATTTTCGGCACCTATAATCGTTTCGCTTCGTGCATGTGTTTTTATTTTCTAAATTATTTCTGCAGTTTTCCACCAGATATAAAATTTATCTTTAGGAATTCGAGCCAAAAATTGATTTCGAAAAAGGCAAAATCTCGCTTTCCATGGAAACTCTTCTTGTGAAAGATGACGCAGGGACAATTTTGTTTACTAAAGACGTCATGGATGAGAAGAAACTTCTTATCTCTAATATATCGACTAGTGTTTTTTTTTGTTTGTTTTGTTTTGTTTTTTTGTTTTGTTTTTTTGCTTCTGATTATATTCCATAGATGTACGAAGTGGCATAACAGCTATCAAAATGGAAAATAGAATGAGAAAACTGGGTTTAATTTCTGGTTATGGCTTTTCTGTTCACTTTGTACGAATCCTCTTGAGAAAGGCATGAATCCATCTATCCCAATAGCTCAGATTGAAGATGACAATTTCTGTAAGGCAGTCCATCTAAAAAAAAAGACAGATCTTGCCAGTGTTATCACATTGGTTTAATTTTGATGTTTGCGTATACACAAAGACCCAAATATATATATATATATATATATATATATATATATATATATATATATATATATATATATAAAGAGAGAGAGAGAGAGATTGATTGATAATAGTAGCCAATGTATATATATATATATATATATATATATATATATATATATAAAATTCCAAAAGGATAGAATCCAGGTAGAACTCAATGTTCAGGACAGAGCAGGAATAAATATAAAAGGCTCAAACACTAATATTCCATGGTTATAATTTATTACATTGGAATCGTAATCACGATCCAATTCATTAGACCGACAAATTCAAAAAGAAATCGGAAAATATAACTCTGGGTATAAAAAAAACAAAAGTTTAGTGAAAGTGTATGTGTGGGAGTGGGAAACAAGTGTGAGAGGGAAATGTATGAAAGCTATAGAGAGAGGGTGTAACAGAAGAAAGAAGGACAGGAAGACCTAAAGGTGAAGGTGGGGATTAAAATTTAACAGAGAGGAGTTTTAAAGAGAGGAGTTAAATAACGATTTAAATGAGTGAGATACAGATAAATTGGAATTATTTTCAGATGCATAATTCCCGATTTGCTGACCTATGATTAAAATTAAAAAACAGACACCGGAAATGTGTGGATACATTTGTGGTGACACTATGCACAATAAAAAACGATATGATCTAAACTTAAAATCCAGCCAATTCATACTGCCGAGGTATATGTTAAAATTTTCCGTCTGCTTTTCATTACGAACCTTATGTATACAAGAAAAGAGAAGAGGAAAAAAATAAAGAACATTGTGGAAAGGCAATTCAGAAAAGCATATGCAACCAGTTCGTAACAGTTTTTAAAAACGTCGTTAATATCTTTCATGCTGCTTTGCATGTTCACGTCCGCACACATCAAAACATGCCGCGCAGTTCGTAGCGCCCCACAAGCACAGTCTGGACCGTCTTCGAGGACGATCATGTGCATGCGACCTTTGTATTTCCCGTATCCCGGACGGAGTTTATTCATATTGAAACCAATGGCCCCGCCGTCGATCATAGCCTGGTGAACGGGGAGATACGTGAGGATTGACAATTTAAGTTAGCTGTTAGTGCTCGCTCATCATGATGACCCCAGGTTGTTGGCACATTTTTCAGTCTTGTTCAGCAAGAGGCCACCAGCAACGTAAATGGATAATTGTATCGTTAGTCTACCTCATTTTAGATCCAGAGAGCAGAATTCCACACGTCAAGGTAGAGTTGATTGCACTTCTAATCAGTCGCAGGTAGTCATTCTGGTTAGAATCGACTTTTCTTATGTGAGAGCTGTGTCATCATATGGGTGGCATAGAAATCCCGCAGGTGAGAAGCACAAAGCTACAACCTGCGTGCGAACAGGGTGGAAGTCTGATCCCCAATCGTTTTCTGCGGCGTATTTGAAGAGATTGCAGCGTGCATTCATTTTCGCAATAACTGTTTCAGCGTGATGCTTGTTTGAAGATGGCGCGATCTAGGTTCACCTTCGAATACATTAGGGCCTTTTTAAAAGAGATTTAGACACGGAGTACTTGTTTGACAAACTTCTTTGCGAGATGGATAAAGCTCGCAACAGTTTTATGTTTGTTCAGCTTCTGTCACCACTGATCGAAGTAGGTGATTATCTATCTATCTATCTATCTATCTATCTATCTATCTATCTAGCTCAATCTGTTCATATTTATCTATCTGTTCTTATTCTATTTCTGTTTTCTATCTATCTGTTCTTATTCTATTTTTGTTTTCTATCTATCTATCCTACATATGTTTTTATTCTGTTTCTGTTTCTAATCTATCTATCTATCTATCTATCTATCTATCTATCTATCTATCTGTTCTTATTCTATTCCTGTTTTAATCTACCTATCTGTCTATATATCTGTTCTTATTCTATTTTTGTTTTTAGATAGATTAAAAACAGAAATAGATAGATAGATAGATAGATAGATAGATAGATAGATAGATCTCTTATTATTATTGATAGTCAAGTCGACTTCATTTTTGAAAGACAAGCGTTATGAAATTTTGAATTTCGCTAACTAGGTCTACCAATGAGAAAAAAGACTAAAAACAATTTAATAAGACTGTCTTTATACTTAATCTCCCCAGTCTGAAATTTCGGACCCTAACAAGACAAAATACAGTTTGGCACACTCGTTACTCTTCTTAATTCGTCGAACTATAAAGGAAGATCATAAAACTTGAAGAATGTACTCGATGGGAGCGAGCTTCTCGACATTAAACAGCAGTTTATCCGCAGTAAATGAAGGAACTATTACCATCTGATCTTCGCAAGTGAGAAAGAAGCCAACCACGATTTCGTGATATCGTTGACAACGTCATAATAGTATTAATAAAATTCCTCATTTGATTTTAATTTCAGATGAAGTCACGTTCAGCGTAATGCCTTTGATCTCGATTCCTACAGTTTAATGTCGCGACTGAAAACTAGATCAGCTAAAAGCATTGCGACAAAAGTAGTAACAATGGCGACAAAAAGATGAAGACATTGTCATAAAGTTCTTAAAAGCATGTTTAAGCATTTTTTCTTTTCCCTTTTATTATTTTTATTGATGTCTGATACGGTTCACATGTCCTAACGGGTAAAAGCGTTGGTTAAGCGTATATAATTACCTGGCAGTCGTGAGTTCAATAGTTGGGTTGGGTAGAGCAAACAAGTCATCTACTCTGGTTCGATGGGATAGACAAATGACGTTACAATAATTAATTAACTAGAAAACCTTAACTGATACAAGTTATCTCCCCTTTCCTTCCAAGAGGAGATAACTTGTATATATAACCAGAGTAATATATACATAGAAAAATGAGAATGATCTCCCTTCATCAATTTACTAAAGGATTCGATTGAAAATTTCCAGGTTATGACAGACGTACAAAGAAGGCCGAAAGGTAAAAACGGCCGAAACGTTATGACTATAACTACCAAGATCATGGCTCTCCACAACTTCCTACTGCTTATGGCCCTTATATGTTTATCCCTATTGTCACTTCTCCTTTTGTAGCTCTTAGCAATGTTTGTATTTTTTACTGTCCCTCTCGCTACCCGTTAGCCTTCCATTTACACAAAAATGTTAAGCAATTTTCTCGCTCTTTCCCGCTGTCCCTCTTGCCTTTAAATATGTTCAGTAAATGTGAAATATTCAAAGCGTTCCTTCCTCATTATGTATCATAGTTGGTTTAGCTTTGGTCATTTTGTTTTACAACATATCAACCTCAATTGGTTATTTAATGCCGACAACATTTTTTATTTGTTTTGTCAAAAATCTGTTTCTGGTAATATTTTTCCTTCGAAATTGTATTGCTGATAATGATTTTTTTCAAAAAGTATTGCTGGTAATAGTTAACTATTTGCCCATAGCTGGGACCCTAACAGGTGCTACCACCCAGGGTCAGGTTGGACCTGGGAACACCAGCAATTAAGAGGTGGTTCCATGCTGCTGGATGTAGTTTAACGTCTTACCCAGGACGCATTATGTATCATAGAAATTTGAGCTTTCTTTCTGGGTATCCTTTTAACACCATATTAAGGCTCATCAGGTTAATGGTCAAAGAACAGCCAACCGACAATATTAGTAATTTATATTATTTACATTATTTGGACTATTTTCCTCATCTTTGTCGCCATATTTATTACAACGTTTCGGCCGTTGTACGCTCCGGCCTTCTACAGGTGGTTGGAATGTTGAACTGAAGCCTTTATTTCGCTCACTGGGGTAGACTGTTCTAGTTCCACGTGCCATTTTTAAAGGATGTCAGTTATCAGTTATCTCCAGTTAATTCCCCTCTCCAAGTTCTCCACTGCCTTAACCGGGTATTGAACTCACACTCTTTGGGTCCTGTAACTGGATCTGACTAACGCCTTTATCCACTGTGCCATGAGTCCTCAAGGAAACACGAAATAAAGGGTTCAGTTCGAAAGACCTGGAGAAGGCCGGAGCGTACAACGGCCGAAACGTAATAAATTTGGCGACAATAGTCCGAATAATGTAAATAGTGTACATAATTCCTAATCTCAGAAATATAGACAGATTAGTGATTTAGTATGTACAAATTACTTTCCTTTGGATTTTGCACACTTGTCTAATTCAGCGTCCCTTTCACTTTTCAAAGCAGTTTACTAAGTTCTCTTTCGGGATCATCATTAACTGATGCTTCCCCTTCTTCTTAATCTTACCTTTTTAGAAAATCTGAAAGCGTCAATGCTTAGTTTTGCGAAAATCACAGAAGGTCAAATCTTAGCTTTGAGGAAAGTCACAGAGAGTTAAAGAAGTAAGTTTTGGAGGGTCAACTCTAGATAGTAGCGTGTGGGTTCAAATATTTAATCTTACAATGTTTTACCAAGAAATCCTGCACAAGGCGCGAAGTAGCGACTGATTCTGTCATCGTGAATGTAACAGTCACACAGTGCACAAGCACTCTCGATGACGTCTCACTACGAACAGGGGAGAGCTTCTGCTAACTCGTGCGCAGTAAGGTTCCCTCTTACTGTTTACCAAATTGTATCTGGACTCTGTAACCATTTTTGTCAGGATATTTAGAAACCCCGGATACGTTCCGCATATGAGAAAAAAATTCCATGAGGAAATGAAAAATGCTGAGAAACGTAACTGTGGTGTCCTCCCTCTAAAGAGTCTCTTCCGCCTACTATAAGATTAGTAGGAGAGAAGGGGAACCGCCGAATAGATTGAACGCTGGGTCAACCGACAAAGATGTTGTGACCAAGTAAATGGTTAAAGAAATAACAAAACAAGTGTTACAGATATATCATATATTAAAGAGTAGGTACAACAGAAGAGTATTCCACGACTAGTGAGTGTGTGTCGGTTGACCCAGTGTTCAATCTATTCGACTGTCCCCCCCAAGGCCTTCTCTCCTACCAATCTTATAGTAGGCGGAATAGTCTAACACAGACTCTTTAGAGGGAGGACACCACAACAGAAATTGAAATATTTATTCATGCAAACAAATTTCAATACAGAAACTACATTTTTGTCCTGGTTTAACCATTCTGTTACGTTCATTATTTTCATTCCAGCCTTTGTTGCCGATCTCTCCTGTGGCCTCTGTTTGACAGCTAAATAGGAAAATAATTGGCTCGTAACTTTCAATAGTTCAAAAGCCACCGTTTCATCATCCTCGTCGTCGGCGTCGTCATCAACATCTTTCCGACATTAGGTTGACCCTAGTCACGGTGAACGGGTTTCACTCTTAAATACAATCGTCTGATAAAGATACCGGAAATATGACCGACTCATTCTATCCACGAAGTATCTGACTCCTTCTATCATGCTTTATATTGATAAACGTGCGATACTATGGTGTGGAACAGACTCCTGCGTGGATGCTTCCTTGAAGATTTCAATCTTAATCTCATCGAGTCAACGGCAAATTATTATTGTACCTTCAAAATGTTCGCTTCCTACCACTTCCTTTCCAGTAATATCAAACACTTCGTTCATTATTGCCATTGATTGATTTCAATTTTTACACAACGTTCACTATATTCGTGTTTGGTATTAAGGACTGACAAATGGCGGATTTTATTTTTGGATGACACGAAATAAATTAGGTTTTTATTTTCTCATTGCACTGACCGTAGTATTTGATTATATACAAGTAGATAGATAGATAGATAGATAGATAGATAGATAGATAGATAGATAGAAAGATTAAAAACAGAAATAGAATAAGACAGATAGATAGATAGATAGATAGATAGATAGATAGATAGATAGATAGATTAACCTGAAGCGCAAAAGAGAGAGATATTTTTAAAATGAAAGAGGAATTCCTTGTAATCAAATAGAATCCTGTGCCGAGGAAAACCGTCACCTCATGTCACAGGTTCACAATCCATTTCGATTGCCCTCTTGCCACCAATCTACGCATCCGAAAATTTCTTTGGACAGATTTAAGCGTTGGCTCTATGCTCTGCCTCAAAAACAATATCTATCACGTACTCCTTTGACGGGATGGCCAGGTCGTGTTTAGGTCGTCTAATCC